GCTCAGTGCTGAGCTTCCTGGGGGATGGGGTGGTACTCAAGCTGGTGTCCTTTCTCCTCTAACCCTGCAGGCCTTGATTGACTCATGCGCGGCACCCTCCTCCCTCTCCCAGGAGCCCAATGTGCGCCTCATCGCGCTCTATGACAACGAGGAGGTGAGTGAGTGGCACAGCCGTGGGGTGGCTGGCACATGGAGGGGCTCCATGCTCTTGGCTCTCCCCCAACCATACCTAGCAGGAGATAGATGCCAAGCCCCAGTGGGAGAAGGGGGTGTTTTGCTTACCCCCACGCGGAGCATGGCTCAGGCAGGGGGTGGGAAGCACCGGTGTGGCTGGAACTGGCTCTGCTGGCTTTGGGGAGCCCCCTGTCTTTCAGCCAGCCCCTGGAGTGCTGGGGGATCACGCCATGTGGGTCGTGCTGGTGGTGGTCCTTGGCAGGTAGGATCAGAGAGTGCACAAGGCGCGGAGTCCTTGCTGACGGAGCTGGTGCTACGCCGGATCTCGGCATCGCCACAAAACCTGACAGCCTTCGAGGAGGCCGTGGCCAAGTCCTACATGATCAGTGCCGATATGGCCCACGCTGTGCACCCTAACTACGTGTGAGTAGTCTGAGCAGTGCCGCAGGCTGGGGCAGCCTGCCCTGCCGTGGGGGGGGCATGTGTGCCTGTCATTCCCCAGGGAGGACAGACAGGACAGTCTTTTGTTGTGGTGGGGAGGGAGGGCTGTAGCATGAAACTCCTGCTTCTGTTTTGCAGGGACAAGCATGAGGAAAATCATCGTCCGGCCTTCCACAAGGTGAGAGCAGCCCTCTGCTTTGGGCCTGGGACAGGTGCTGTCCATCTGTCCTGCAGCACTGTGAAACACCCAGCTGCTCGCTGGAGCATGGTCCTGGGGTGCAACTCAACAGCACTCAAATGGGAGACGTTTGTCCCGCAGCACGATTTGGCCCTCCCACACATTTGGTGTCCCACACTTGGGACCACAGCCTTGGCCCTGGAGCCCTTCCCTGCTCTGAGCTGGGGCTGTCCCTGTGGCAGGGCTGTCCCCGTCCCCACAGATCATCCAGGGAGGGGAGAATGGACTGGCGGGTTGGGGCGGGACAGTATTGCCTGGGCACGGGCATCTCCAGAGCTACTGACTATCTCTGGTGCCAATCGCGAGCCCACGGTGCTTTCCCTTGTGCAGGGCCCCGTCATCAAAGTGAACAGCAACCAGCGCTACGCCTCCACGGCTGTCACCGAGGCAGTCATCCGGGACATCGCTGCCCGCGTGGGTGTCCCCCTGCAGGTGAGCGGGGCTGGGTGAGCCCTCGGTGAACACTTACCAGCTTGGGCTGCAGCCCTGCTGCTGTGTTTAGGAGGGGGAACGTGTGCCAGATCCCCATCCTTCAGTTACTGTGTCCAACCCCACTGGGGTCTGCACTTTTTGGGGCTCCAGCTCCAGGGCTGCCTCGAGGGAGCAGGCTGGGGACCAGGAGGGGAGCACCTGGCCTGAGCATGTCCCATCTCTGGGGGATTTTCCACTCCGGTTCGGGGACGGTGCTGCTTCCCCGTCCCAGGTTGCCTCCCTTCAGGTCTGGGAGCTCATGGGGCAGCGTGGGGAGCTGCTGAGGCCCTGTCCCCATGCAGGAGTTCATGGTGCGGAATGACACGCCTTGCGGCACCACCATCGGTCCCATCCTGGCCTCCCGCCTGGGTCTGCGCGTGCTGGACATCGGCTGCCCGCAGCTGGCCATGCACTCCATTCGGGAGATGTGCTGCACCTCGGGGGTGCTCCAGAGCATCACCCTCTTCAAGGTGAGCCCCGTGTCCCCTGTCCTGCGCCAAAGCCCCCCTCCCTACTGCTCCACATCCCCATGTTCCCATCCAACCCCTGCCTTGGTGCTGGGCCTGGCCATCCGGCCAGGCTCCCTATCCCTCTGGAGCAGCGCAGGTACCGTCTGCTTCCGGAGGTGCCCCCTCGCATCCCAGCCTTCCCTGGCGACTGCCATCCCCAAATGGTTCCTATGGCAACCGGCGCTAGCCTTGAGTCAGTGATAGGTTACTATGGCGACGCGGTCCTGCTCTCTGCGAGTAGCTGCCTGCCGTGACGCCATGCGCGTAACCCAACAGGGAGCCACTGCCTGCCCCTCCGCTGCCTGTCTCCCTACCCCACGCCATCCTGCCTGGCCCACCCTGACGGTCTGTCTCCTTCCAGGGCTTCTTCGAGCTCCTGCCAGCAGTCAGCAGCAGCCTGGTGGTAGACTGAGCACGGCGGGGAAGGGAGCAGCTGTGGGTTCAGCCCTGGGGCCATTAAAGCATCTCTGTCTCACCAGCGAGTGGTCCATGAGCGCGGCTGGGGGTGTGGGGGGATGGACCTGGGGACTCCCATAGCTCCCACCCATGGTCTCCATCCCCTGGGGCCGGGACCTGCTCACCCGCCCACCGTGGCCCCCTCCCTGTCGTGGGGGTGCTGGGGGTCCCAGATAACAAGCAGAACGTGGCTCTGCCCCTCTTGGGAGAGCTGCGGGAAGGATGTCCCTGTCCCCAGGGGAACAAGGGAAGGGCTGAGCTCGACGCACGTCCTGGCAAGGTCCTGCCAGCCCCAGACCTGCTGCGGGGGCCCTGCCCTCTCCCCTCCTCCCCTTCCCGGGGCGGTGCCGCTCAGTGGGGGTGTGAGGGTGTGGCCCGTCTCTCGCTGCTCATTGGGCTTTTCTCAGGGGCGTGGCCCACGCGGGAGCCAGTGAGGCCGCAGGGCTGGGAAGAGGCAGGCGGTGATTGGCAGAGGTGCTAGCAGCGCGGTGGCACACCCCCGGGGGGGCGTGGCTCGCCTCCAGGGAGGCTGCGATTGGCGCGGCGCTCGGCCGTCTCCCCCCCGGGGCGCGACGTAATTGGCCTCGCTCGATAACAGGGGGGCGTGAGCCCGACGTGGGGGGAAAGAAGCCTG